CTTGATGGTTCTGGAGATTTTGTGATGACGTGTGAGCGGCATTTTGCTTTTATACATATAGATTAATTAATAAATAAGAGGAAACATGACACATCCTACACATCCTACACAGGAACTTTGGGTTCCTGAAAAAAAGTCAGGATAAAAATCTAACAACTCACCAATAATAAAATGGAAACGTTCCAGACAAGGGTCAGCTCAAGGAAAGGGGTCAGTGAAGGTGAACTTTATCAATTTCTGGAATTCAATCAACAAAATACCACATTCCTAAAGGCACTTCCTGGGCTTCCCTTATCTTGTTTAAACAATCAAGAGGAGGGGATGTCAAAATAAGCCAACCTAAAGGGACTGATCAGCTTGCAAACAAACCACAGATTGTTTGCAGCACCCCTGAAGAGTCCAAGGAAGAGGAACTGGAAAAATTCTTTTCTTGATAAGCTCAAAGGAGAACAAACTGGAATGCAGATTATTTTGAGCTAACTGGTCAATGATCATTAGAAGGGAATGGAATAGGGAAGAGAAGAGAAGGGAAGGGAAGGGAAGGGAAGGGAAGGGAAGAGAAGGGAAGGGAAGGGAAGGGAAGGGAAGGGAAGGGAAGAGAAGAGAAATAGAAATAGAAATAGAAATAGAAATAGAAATAGAAATAGAAGAGAGTAAGGAAGAAAAGAGAAGGAATAGAATAGAAAATAGAATAGAATAGAAAATAAAACAGAACAGAAATAGAACGGAAATAGAACAGAATCAAATAGAGAAGGGAAGGGAGGAGAGGAGTAGAGAATAACAGAGTTGGAAGGGACCTTGGAGGTCTTCTAGTCCAGCCTCCTGCTCAGGCAGGAAACCCTATTCTATTCTAGACAAATGGTTGTCCAAGCTCTCCTTAAAAACTTCCAGTGTTGGCGCATTCACAACTTCTTTCTGAAGGCAAGTTGTTCCATTGATTAATTGTTCTGACTGTCAGGAAATTCCTCCTTAGTTCTAGGTTGCTTCTCTCCTTCATTCATGTCTGAAGAAGCTTCTTAGATGAGAAGCAAAACATTTTCTAACCCCCCAGCCCCCCCAAAACCCAGGAAAGTCCAGTTGCCTTTTGGGTTAAAAAAGCCACCTTTGGGACAATCATGACTTGGATGATTGAGAATCTCCACAGACATTGGTTGTAATGGACATCTTAAAAAACAACAACAGGTCAACGCTAGGAGCTTTCTACCTATCCGCCACCATATCACCAACACCAAGTATTTCCTGCCACTCAAAACCCACCACCCAGACTTGGCAGGGTACGGCCAATCTGAAACAACATCCTTCAACTACCACATCTGCAAGCAAAGGAGGTGTTGCCTCTTTGGTAGCTGCTCCACTGTCTTCCCCATGTCCTGCTTTCCTCTTCCTCCAGAACAAGAGTGAGTTGCTAACTGCTTGGCTTTAACAGCTGATGTGTCACGCCCCTGTTGGAATCTGATTCAGAGGGGGAGGCCAAGCAGCTGACAGGGAGATGGTGTGTGGCTCCGTTGGCTGCGGAAGAAACCAGGGAAGGGCAAAGTCCGTCTGGGCAGAGCAGGGGAGAGGTAGAACAAGGGAGGGGGAATTCGGAGGAAGACCAAGGCCCACCCACTCTTCATCCTAGGGCACGCAGGGAGGAAAGGAGAAGGGAGCAATGTGGGTTGCATGGCTTATGGGGGAGGAAAGGGCCCTGATTACCTTCATTATCTGCAGTTGGGAGCACAGTGTTTTAAAGGGAAGTTGCACATAGCAAACTGTTGGGAGCAAATCATGAATTATCTGGTATTGTCGAGGCTTATCTGGGTTCGAAGTGTCTTCCCAACTGTGTGTGTTTTGCTGCCCTTTCAAGCCTGCAATTCCTTCTCCTGCCCTGTCAAGTTAATTATTGCAGCGTGGTTTGTGTGGATTTTTTTAGTCACAGTTTGTATGTACTTTGCTTTTGGACTGAATTTTCTCCACTTAAAGACCCTTCCTGGGAGAGTTTTTTCTCCAGCCGAAGGTAACCTGGACATTGGGGGCAAAGTTGGAGGTTATAAAGGGACTCCTATTGCTTATGTGACTGTCTTGGCTTTGTGCCACACCCCTTTGGGACATCGCATGATCCCTCTTATAACGTGACACTGCAACCAACAACAGACTGGTGGTGGTGGTGGTGCAGTCTTTCCATTTTCGAAAACGTGTTCCAATGTTTGCAACTTCCAACACGAGCCAACTACTAACGGTGTGGGGCTTGCTGTATCCTAGTTACCACAAAATGTTTCCTCCCCGAACTGCCTTCAATTGTATTTCTCTCTCTGGGGTCAGCAGAGCTAAATTCTTCAAGACAGAGTACAACACCCCCTCCCGTTTTTAAATAAAGGTTTCAATTACAGCACAGAAAGTTTTAGGTTTTCATTTTAAAGCTTCCTTTTCTAAAAAAATAAAATAAAAATTGAACACTATGTGTACTCACCCTGGATGCAGAATAACGGTGGACTGAATAAAAAACAAAATTGATCGACCAAGGTTTAGGGGTGTTAATTATTCTTCCAAACGAACACACTGTTCTCTCCCCTTCAATTGTATTTCACAGAGATAGAATAACTGCTTAGTTTTCTTTCTACTCATACACAAACATATATTTTCTGGGCTGAGGATCTAACCCGGGCACCAAAACTCCAGAGGGAATCTCAAAATTCTAATCAAAACCAGAGATTTCCAAATAAGGATTTTAGTGGTTAAGCAAGAAAAATATTCACTAAGCCACCCCACCTCCCCGACTTCTGGCAGGCAATCTTCTCAGTAGTATAATATTTGCTTTGGTGCCCAATGGCTACCCCTGCTTTGAACTGATAAAGCCCAGTTGGAGGTCTCAGAAAAAAAAGACTTGAATGCAGGTACCACCACTAAGGATGGGAAGAAACATAGTAAGATAGTCCTTGTCTTATGACCATAATCGAGCTCAACGTTTCTAAGTGAAATGACTTTTAAGTTAGGTTTGCCCCATTTCACGACTCTCCTTGCCGCTGTTGTTAAGGGAACCACCGTTAGTAACCTGGTTGTTGAGTAAATCTGGCTTTCTCATTGACCTTGCTTGTCAGAACATCACCAAAGGGGATCACGTGATCCCGGGACCATGTGACGAGTCACAATAAACAGAAACACGATAGCTCGTGCTCCGAAATGTATCAGAACAAGCAACACTCACCAATCTGCATCACATAAAAACAGGGTTTAAAGGTCGGTACTCGGACAGACGAGCCCAACTCAAAGCGGACGGGCGACGTCTCCTTGAATGGTGACGAAACGTTTGCAACCAAATCGCCAAGCTCGGAGCTCAAACCAACAGCCCCAAATCTGCCGTTTTTAAGTTGCCCCTTGCACTAGAGTTTTCTTAGCTCTGGAGTTGCTCCCTGGCTGAGACCTTCTTAGCCACTGTGAAAATAAATAGATTTTTATCTGTCGATCCTTCCTCTGCTTTTGAGTCAAAACAGGGAGCTCACGAGAGGGCAGGACTTGAGCCAAGCTGCCACAAACACTGGGACACAGTCTCTAGTTTATCACCAACTCTATCTAAACAGCCACAACTCTTCTCTTTCCTCCGTGCCATTTGGACCGCACGCTCTATCGCAACAATTTACCTTATACGGAGGGCAATCTGGACATAGTAAATCCTCGGAGGGCTAAATAACAACTCTAAGCTTAACTCAAAGGCGAAAGAATTTTATTCCAGTTTGTTTTGATCTCTGCTTGGAACCCGTTGCCAAAAGGGAATTCTTAACCGGTTTCCTAATCACACTTCCTCTTATGCTGAACATTTATACTTGGGCCATCCAAAGCTACTCACTCTTAACTCACAAATGAAGTCCCATTGCTGGTATAGAATTTCACTAAATTGCTTTTTCACACTCAATATTTAGACTGCAGACCGCGGGTAGCATCACAGGAGTTCGACCCGTCTAGGATAATCCATGGTTTAATTCAAGAAACCAGTTTTACGTTCCCAACAACCGATCGTCGTACTGGACTTCAACATGACACAGCTCTTACGCCATTTCCCGTGACAATTGGTTCCCTTGTCAAACTGCAGTTTTCATCACAACCCTCAAATGTTTGATGAGTGCTATGACAGCTCCTTCTCTGAAAAGTAGAATGTACATTTATCATCGGGCTCAGCAAGCGCAATTTCTTGGTTGTGTTTTAAGATAGACAGAAGTGCAGTTCCTGTAGCTAATGAGAACCAAATTTAGGACATACTCAGGAGGAAAGGCAGTGACTGAGAAGGATAACAATCACTCCATATCCTTCTTGATTAGCAACTAATCCAGGAGAGAAGCAATTTAGAACTAACAAGGAATTTCCCGACAGTTAGAACAATTAATCAGTGGAATAACTGGCCTTCAGAAGTTGTGAATGCTCCATCACTGGAGGTTTTTAAGAAGAGACTGGACAACCATTTGTCTGGGATATAATATGGTTTCCTTCCTGAGCAGAGAGCTGGATTAGAAGATCTCCCTTCCAACTCCGTTATTCCAATTTTCTAATTTACTTAATTTTTAGAATGTCTTGTTGGTACGATTACAAAGGGCTTGAGTGTCCAGGCAAACAATATGAAATGCAAACTATGGGTGTTGGAAGATGCAGAACTTGCAAGATCAGAAGCTTAACTTGGGGTCAAAAAATCAGGAAGTCTACCACAAAGAAGAGGGGGTCCACTTTTTCTCCAAAGTACCTGAAGGCAGGGCAAGAAGCAACGGATGGAAACTCATCAAAGAGAGAAGCAACCAGTCAGGATCGAACTGCTGCCAGTCGGCAGAATTAGCCTGCAATTCTGCATTCTAACCTCTGGGGCCACCTGGGCACTAAGTATGATTACAGTCAGTTCCTGGGCATTTTTGTTGAAGTTGAAGAACCAACCAAACTAACCAACCAAGTTGAAGTTGA